CCCCTGGGACCTTAGCCTCTCAGCCTTTAGAAACGGCACTTCTTTAAGAGTCAAGTTGGATAACTGGGCGCAGCTGGAAAAGGTAAATCCGCGACCGTTGGCGGCGTTCACTGCTCCGTGGGTGGTTTTAAAGGGCTGGGTTTCTAGACGTGTGTGCGGCGGGCTCGGAGGGGACACTGCCGCGTGGGCACCTTGCTTCCTGAGATTGAAAAGAGGGCTATTAACACGCTCACTTCACGTGGGAGTGGGGTGTAATGGTTTTCTTGCCGAATGACATCATTTAATAATAAACAGGTGAGACAGAAAATTGGTGGAGAAATTAAAAGGGGGATTGGCGGGAATTCGTAGCGATTGAACCTTTGAATAAAACTATTCACGATGCAAATGTTTTCTTTCCACTGTTAAAGTTCCTGGCCAAAAAGAAAATTAGATTACCCAGGGAACTAATCTACGGGACGATCCACTGCAAAGCCGGCGTGCCGGAGATCCTGGTCCAGGAGGTGTACCGCTTGCTCACACACCAGGAGTGAGTGAGCTGGGGTTCCCAGCAAACACCGCGTCATCTGAAACTTTGGGTAACACACTTCTCACTCCTAAAATGCCGCTGGTGATCCGCATGTTGTTTTTTATTTCCAGAACCCAAAGTATCCAGGACGACCTTGTGAACTTCACAGACTACAGTTACCAGATGCAACTGCCGCTGCTCCCCAGGTCCACGGCCTCCAAGTTCATTAAAGATAACATTAGGTTGTCCGAACTCATGAGCAATCGCAGCCTGCTCAGCAATGAGCTGAAAATCGATTTCCTCTTCCTTCTGCAAATGTTGCAAAGGAAGTTAAGCAGAAAGATGCATCCAAGTAAGTTTTCCTTGGAAATCCTCAACCGAATTCCTCCGTGCCCAACGACGCTCCTCTTGGGCACGGATGAAGGAAAGGCTCTCATGTCTGCTGTCTCCGGTCACCAGTTTAACGGGGAAATACTCCCGTTATGCAAGCAGTGGGATGAATTCTTTTCGTCGGGGTGGTTAGTGTTATATGTAATTCATTCCTTTTGATGAAAGCATAGGTTACCAGTGTCTAGGCACGTTTCTTTTTAGAACATCTTTTAAGTGAATCTGTTCACGTAAAATATTGTGGGAATTCATCAGTTCACATATCAACTCAAGATACCCAGGAGGATAGGAGTGCTTAAGCGTCCGTCAGGGTGTATTTGACCCCTAGCCGCTCTCTGGAGTGTGTGTGGTCACTGCTGTCCTTTCTGTGGTCGCTGTTGGTGTGGAGATGGCCAGGCCGACGGGGTCAGCCACAGCGTCATCTTGTTGTTGTGGCTCTTCTGACACTTATTCAG